TGAGAATTTGTCACTTTTGTGTTTTCAACTATGAGCAGAAATGCTGGAACCCACTGTGCTCCTATAGTGAGGCATGAGTGTATAATGGTTAACCTGGAAGGAAGCCAGAGGCTTGTGGATGGCATTACCGTGCACAAGGCCAGTGTCTGTAGAAAACTCTTGCACATACAGTACTGGATGTGGAACCACATCCTGCATTGTGTCAGGGGCCAGGCACACAGCAACACAGAGCATGATTCTGAATGACACAACCCAGCAGGGTCTTCTCAGATACTCGAAAGGGAAAGATGTGGTTCATTCTTCTCAGTAAAACATATTACTCTCAACAATACACTGGTAACGGTTATACTCTTATACTCCACGTCCGCAGATATTCAGTGCTGTGGGTGGACTGGGTCTTCACTGTAAGCCAAATTGGGTCAATATATTAAAAACAAAATAAAAGACAAATGTATAGTTACAAACACAAGATGGCTTAGGAAGGAGAGATGAAAGGCATTTGAAAATATTATTAAATGAATTCTAAAAAGCACTCGTATATGCACAGTGTTTGCACACACCAGTGAACAATTCATGTTAACCTCGTGATCAATTGAGGAGTTCAGATAAACAGTGCCCGGTGATTTTGCTTTTGATAAATGTTATATTGTTTGGTTTTAGTTATGTGCAGCTCTCGTGCGAAGAATGATATCTAAAAAATTATAATCGTCACATGAACGCCAAAGGAAACCGTGTGCTACCAATATACAGATGTGTCCCCATATCAGTTTAAATAAAGAACAGTTATTTTACATGTCACTGCGTTTTCAAATTGGTTTTTTTCTGCGATTTTTCACAATAAAATACATGTCTAAAACACCCATGTTTCTCTCCCACAAGGATGAGTTTTGTAACTAAAAGTGATCTGATCGTCCCGGGAAAACCTCTGATCTAAGCGCACTCGGACAGCTGGGAAGATATCTCTGCCTGCCAGATATCTTGCTCTGGAGAGCAGCGTCTTTTCTAAAGCGAACGAGGAAATATTTAATCCAACTACAAGTAATACCTACTGCATTTTCAAGTTATTAAACGCCTACATTTCCAGTATCGGCGTTAACCTGCCAGCTCCACAGCTCCGCTTTGACCAGAACGCCTAAAAACAGATCTGCGCGAACTGATTTTCACTTCCTCGAAATCAGGCGACCGTAACTTTGCACTTTACAATGCTACAAATGAGAAACGTAAGATGTTCGAAAATTATAACGTGTTGCTTCCCCTCTAGCCGCTAGACCGGGGTCTGCTGCCCGTTATTACGCAGAACTCCTCGGTTCCGTGGCCAAACGGGTGCAATACTGCATTGGAGTGGGATACAGCTGCTTAATACCATCTATTTGAAGTGTAGTACGCTTCTTTAAAAACTGTCTCACATGCATGGTGGATGCATTCCTGCTGTCGCACCAGAGAGACGCGTCCGAGAGGTGCCGGACCCGGAGCACAGCCTGCCTTGTAACTTCTGAGACACCCCGGGAGGCCACGACAGCGGCCCGGGTCTCCGGGTTCGGCATTACCTGAGGGGGAGATGCTGGCCTCCAGGAGCCCGTCCTCACGCCCTCCCCCGACCGACCCCTCTCTCTCCAGCCCCAGCGGCCTGTCCGCCTCCGGCTCGTCCCCGGAGCCGATCGGATACAGCATCTCAGGCGGCGGGTCCGGGGTCAGGCAGGGGTCGTCGGAGTCCACCTCCTCGCACTTGATCTCCATCAGCTCGCCGGCCTTCGGGGGGGGGCCAAAGATGAAGGCGCCGGGCGGGGGCGGGGCGAAGGCGTGCAGGTGGTAGCCGCTCTCCACGCCGGGCACGCCCTGCAGCACCTGCTGGGCGATCACACTGCCGCCCAGCGAGCCGTAGGAGATGGACGGCCGGTTGGTCAGCACCCGGTCCATCACCTCGTAAAACTTCCAGGTGCGTCCCCCGCGCACGGTTTTCTGGTTGTCCTTGATGCGCCGGTACTCCAGCTTCATCTTCTTGATCTTCTCCCGACACTGGTCCCCGGTGCGGTGGATGCCCTTGTCCCGGAGCACCTCGGCGATGCGGTTGAAAACATGCTGGTTCCGGAGGCAGCTCTCCAGCTCCATTTGGACCGACTCGTCCGCCCAGAGCTGCAGCAGCTCCACCACCTCGGGGTCCGACCAGTTGCTGCCCCTCTCGTACTTCTTGCCCCGAAAATCCATCCCTGACCCGGCCCGCCCAGGGACCCGTCTGCGCTCGGAACCGAGCTGGACTTCAAACCGGCCGGTGGTTCTGACCAGCCAGCCTCTACACTGGTTCGGTGTCAAGGGCCAGTTCTTCAAGTGTATTAAGAGGGGGGGGAACCCGTTCTTTGCAAGAACGTAACGCTTACTGTTTTTTTTTCTACCCCAGTAACCACCTGGTTAAATGCTAGCAACTTAGACTGAACTAATTACAGCTGGTGTGCATCGGGCTATACGAATAGCCAATTATTTTGCCCCGGGTTTTCTTTAGCACTTATCTGTTTCATTTCAGCCCGAGTGAAACGCTGCAGGTCTGTGCACTGCTGGTGTTGCGGCTGTCGCCCGGACTCCCTATTACGAGCTGCGAGCCCCCGGCCCGGACTGGCCCGGGACAGCTCGCTCGGCTTGCAGGGGCTGGAGGTGACAAGTCTCCCGAAACGGTAAGACTGGTTATTTTGGCCACACAATAAAATGGGGGAAGAAGCGTACATTTTACATCCGGGTTGACGGCACATGCGTGCTGTCCTTATTCCGGGATAACTTTGGTCCGTGTCAGTCATTCTGCACAAGCTAGCAAAGGGGCATTTCACAGGAAAAGAGCAAAACAGAGACAGCAGGCGAGATAGCCGCAACGCAGCCCGCCGGCGCCCTCTTGTGGAAGCTGGGTGCTATTGAATACTCTGAAAGGGCTCAGTACAGCACAACCTCATACAAGCTCAGCAAGCCAGTAGACTTCTTCAGCATTTAAATAAAAACATAAACTGAAGAAATTACACTTCTTTGCTCTGCAGAATCAATTAACTATCTCTAACTCTAACTGCAGCCTAAATCAGAAGAATTTACAGTGTTGACTGTTGTGAATAGAAAGTCAAAACGTTTTTAAAATAGAAATAACTTGGACATAAATAAGTAGTTAATTATTTAACAAGTGACCAAATACCTTTTTTAAACATTTGTACCTCAGTAATCACCTGGTTAAATACTAACAGCTTAGACTGAACTAATTACAGCTAATATGCTGCTTATACAAGTAGTTCAAGTAGGGAGCTGTGTCATCATGTGTAGGCTGCAAAGGATCAAGTAAAGGTTTATTCCTGCTGAAAACAGAAGAAAAGAAACAGCGTTTCAGCTGTGGAGCCTTCTTCAGGTGTGATGCTTCGGGTGTCACACCTGAAGAAGTCTCCACAGCCAAAACGTTGTGTTTCTTTTCTTCTGTTTTCAGCCTGGAATAAACCTTTGCTTGATTATACAAGTCATAAACATCCAATCAAGCCATTGAAAATACAGTGTTTAACAGGAATAGAAACCAGATGTCCAGGCCCGGGTTAGACAGTCATCCTAATCAAAGGCTAACTGTATGGGTAGTACACCCAAGACTTTTGAGGCAGGAAAAATAAGTCACATATCAGATGCACTCACATCTGGAAAAATCAAACTAAAATGCCTATGGAAACCCATTCAAACCTCATATTGTTGTTGTGTTCATCTTATCGGTTTCCTGAGTAATGAACTATTGTAGCTTAAGGAACTGACAATCAAACAAAACCTAGGAATTGTACATTTAATAAAATCTTTTCAGTTATAAACATGCTTTTATTTATTTTTACCTAGACCCATACCTAGCAGCTTATATAAAATAATCAAAAGTACTGTACAGTAGGAGTTAAAAATACAAATAATTAAAATAATTATGGTCTTACATAAAGCATTAAAAGCGAATCCTCTAAAGACTTTTTGTGGGAACGCTGGGAGCCATGTTTCTGTCCTTTTTTTCAGTGCATATTGTACAAATAACCAGAGTGCAACAGAAAGGCAATTTTTTAATCCTTATTGCTGGGTCTCTGTATCTGAACGAACACCATGAGCGTCCAGTCCTGGTCCTGGAAGAGTCGATGTGTCTGCTGGCTTCCTTTTAAAGCACCAGCACCTGAAGAGCTGCAAGAAGCTGTTGCATTGGCCAAACAAATCCAAGCAATGAGCGGACTACTGTCATTAAGAGCTGCATTAGCTGGATGACACAGGCAAAAGACCTGTGTTGGACAAGCCTAACATGGACTTTTCTTTCTCATGGGGCCAGGTTCTGCAGCCTTAATCAGAAGATTTGACCATGCTCTTCAGATGCCTACTCTGCAAGAATATGGCTTTTTAGGACCAGACCTGTAGACCTTTGTATTGGCTCTTCCTTGTTCAGACTGTTCTAAATATCACTTTTATTGTGGACCATGAAAGCGTAGCTGCATTCCCCATGGCCAGATTCCTGTACTTGAGATGGGAAATGTCTTTATTATTCCCAAGAGGCAATCTGTTTTACAGCAGCAGACACTGAAGACAAATACACAAACAATACACATGAGCAAGGGTATCAGCTGTTGAGCAGGGTTCTGGCCAAGGTATAAATGAGAACCTGAAGCCGTTCGTGTTTAAACTGGAATACATTAAACAAGGCGTGCGATGAGTTATTTAGGATGGAATATGATTTTTTGTACACCTTACAGGCTTGGGATAGGGTTAATGACCTTTGACATAGTTTGACAAGACTTACTCCTCAGATTCAGATTCCCAAACCAGCAGATCAGGGCAAAAGCAGGTGTTTAAAGACCTAAAAACACAATTAGTTAAGTCCTTAAGATCAGAGATGGAACAAAAACCTAAAGGACAGTGTGGGTCTGAAGGACTGGAGCCAGACATCCCTGTCCTGTAAGGTCTCCCAGATGAGGCTCACCATAGAAGAGCCTAAAATAAAAAGGGCAAACGAGTCTGGTGCAAGAGGATTCTTCACCTAGTCACCTCATAATTCTCCTCACAGCTCACTGGGTAAGCAGAGAGACGAGGTCTGCAGTTCTGCATCCTCTTCAACTGTGTTCAGATTAATCCAGAATGTGAACAGCATTAACAGATAAACAACAGGCCTCAGTGTCAGTGGAAGAATCGGGAGTTTTCCATGACTGCTCTGGTCGAGTCCAGTCAGCCACACTCGGCTGCCCTCGGGCTGTGCCGGGGGCGCATGAGGCCGGGCCGTTGGCACAGCGAGGCGCAGTGAGGGCTGCAGTGCAGGTCTGCCTTGCCCTGTGCCTCAGCCTTCTCCTGCTCAGAAAAACCTCTCCCCTTTTCTCCCAGATTAGCAAGGAGTCCATGCTCTTGGGGAAAAAAAGGTGCCAACTGCAAAATGCAATTTGTCTTTAATTGTTTATTTAGCATTCTCGAAGTGATACTCTCAGAACTACAACAAAAAGTCTTGTTTTTATGCACATGTTCAGTCCCTTAACCTTTGCTCGTCCCCACAGAGACGGGAACCAGAAAATGTTAACTGTTAGGTAGTGAAGAAGATGAGATGGCCTGTTCCCTTTTTCCCATGAACACTAGACCCTGGCAGAATAAATATTACCCAACAGAGCCAACACATAATATTAGGAACACTCATTCTTTGTGCCCCCAGAAAAGCAGATTGTTTGATGGTTGTGTGTGAGTTTATGTAACTGCTGCTAAACAAGTCACAGGTCCATCTTTTCAAAGCCTATGGATTACACTAGTTCCCAATCTCAAGAGATTGCAAACCACTTAGTAATGCTTAGTGTCTGACAGCAAAGCATCAAACCACAGAAAACAGCAAATCCAGCACTACACTCCCCCCCGTTCCCTCCTGTGACTGCGTGGGGGAGCCACACGTGTCCCTTCAGGCCTGTTTTGTTTTTCCATCAAAATGTTTTTAAGCAAACACAGATGTTCCTATCCTCAGCCAAGTCATTTTACCAAAACAGCTCAACTAGACTAAAGGGCTTCAAGTAAATTGGTACCATTGCAGGCCTGACAGAAAGCTATACAATGACTGTATTGTGTAACCCTGGCTGCTTTGACTTTGCTTTGCTCTCCACTTTGTTACTATCTAGCAGCCTTTCGCTATTTAACTCTCCTGGTTGAGTTCCTAGCAGGGCGGCACAGTGCAGCAGCTGTTAGCACCGCTGCCTCTCGGCACTGGGCCCTGGGTTCAAGCTCGGAGCTGGGAGTTCTCATGTGCTCCCAGTGTTCGTGTGGGTTTGCTCTGGGTATGCTGGTTTCCCTCCCAAAGTCCAAAGACATGCTGGGAGGTAACCTGGCTCTGGGAAAGCGGTCTTGATGTGAGAGTAATGTGTGTGTGTGTTTGTGTCTATGTGTCCTGTGATGGACTGGCCTCCAGTCCAGGGGGAATCCTGCCCTGTGCCTGCTGTGTGCCAGGGTAGACACACCTGTATAGGATAAAGAGGTTAGACAATGGATGGATGGTTGATGAAAGTATTATAGGTCATATCTCTTCTTCAGGGTGTGTATTCGATGAGTGCCTGAACCAAATTTGCTCTCCAGAATACTTCACTGGAATAAATTTAAATGACTTCAAACTTCTTCACCATTATTCTAGGAGATTTAACACATTGAGAGTTGAAACAAGAGAGTTGAAATGAAAAACTATCTATGGGAATTCTTCATTAAGAGTTCTTGTCTGTTTCTTAATAATTACGACTCAGAGCAGAACAGTGACTGGAGTGGCAGAAATTCACCACTTCTTGTGCTGTAACATGTTTTTGGCTTTGTTTTGACAGAAAGTATTATAAATGAGAGAAAACAAGAGAGACCCTCATTTACATTACACGCACATTTCTTTCAGTCTTTATAACTTTTTAATTTTTTTAAATCACACCTTAGAATAATTTCCTTGCCACTCTTACTGTAATTCCCCTTCTGAAATCCATTAGCGCTTAATTGCAGATCCAGAGGCAATCTGAGACATGTGCTAACTGGCTTACATCTTGTTCCCAGCTGGCCAGATTCAACAACTGGCCAGCCCTTAAAACTGACCTACAGACATCTGACTTTGTGCTTGAAAACTCTGTTGTTAATGACCAGAGAAAGAAGCAGGTTGTCCCACTATACATCACACTCATTTCCTAAACAGTAAGGAAAAACTTTAGAAAAAAGTTTTTGTAATTACATAAGAAAGGAGGTTAATTAGAATCCATCCCAACCCCAGTCCCTTACTGCAGTTTGCCTTTCTCCTTGTCAGCTACAGACCGGCCATCAGTAAATACAGACTGAGCAAACAGCAAGAAAGCATTGATTTCCTGTTTAGGGAAGTGCAGTGAGCCCTCCTTATTTTCCATTACGACACTGAAACATAAATTCCCACCCCCAATAGCCCTTAAAGAACCAGATATGCATGGACTAAGAGTTTCCATTGTGACAGGGCCAAATTGGACTGTCTGCCAAAGCCCCCTTCATCGTTGTGAGCGTAAACCCCTTTGCAAAGCACAATGCCTTTTAACAGCGTCATTTATAATTCCCAGCCACGAGAGTGCTTGGCCACTCGAAAGGGCTAAGAAGAGCACACAAGTGAAAATGGTTTGCCTCATGTGTGGGACCTATGGTTTTTCATCTTTATTTAGTGTCTTAAAAGAGGTGTCCCTGTT